AAAATAGCATATTATAGTACCAGGTCAGAAAGTTGAATTTTCTTGCTTGCGTGGTATTTGATCCAAGGCAAAGAAGAACATAATAATTTTGATTAAGATAAACAAACCGACTAGAATTAAATATTCAATTTTTTCCGTTTTAAAAATTCTCAAAAGTTTCAATTACTACTATAAGGGGTAACATCACTTTTGATTTTTTGAAAATAAATTTTTTTGAATAAAAGCTCCCTTCGAGTGTATAGAATCATACCCAATTGATTTCATAGGGTAAAAATAATTTGAAGATGTTTCACTTTGAATTTTTCTACTCCACTTAATACGATAGCCAAATGGGTGAGAAAAACTTTTAATGCGTTTTTCATTAACTATGAAAAATGTGAAATTTGTACTAAAGCCTCATATAATATTTCTTGATTGATTTATTATCGTAACTTTCATAAATATAATTTTAGAAAAAATCTTTTGACAAAAATCAAACTTTTTTGGAAAGCGGCCATTTCCGTAAATTTTCCTTTTGAGCTTAAATCCTAAGTAGAATGTATGAGCGCGTCCAGCATAAGTCGGCCACCCCGCGCGATTACGGCATTTTTGGCCGAAAGTGCCGTATGTTTAGCTCGCTCGGAACCGTTTACCAAGAGTCAGAAAAATAATCCAAACACATGGATCAATCGATTTTTTCCTCCTCTTTCTAGTGGTGTGACTTAAAAAATTCTTAAAAATTGATTTTGAGGTTAAAACTCGACTTGAATGTTTAAGTCGATTTATCCAAAAAATGTATCCTCCGATTTCAATTTAAACTGCACCAATCGAAAGAGGAGGCAAAAATCTATCGAAAACCATGTTTTCCAGGATGGAGAAATGATAAGAACTATTAAAGATATCGAGATGAATAGCGTGGGACGGCGCGCGCGGACCTGTTTTCCGTGCGCCAGCAGCGGCACACGCGCGGCGCCGTGCCTTTGTTTTTTCGACTCGCTCGTAATCGCTTAAAAAGGGCTGAAAAAATTATGTCAACATGTAAATCGATAGATTTTTTCCTCCTCTTTCTGATGGCGTTGTTGAAAAAATTCCAAAAAATTTTTTTCATAGTCAAAACTTGATTTGAATTTTGAAGTCAATATTTCTTCAAGTATTTTAATGTTGACCTCAAAATTAACATTACCAATCGAAAAATGAGGAAAAAATCTATCGATTTACGTGTTAACATTATTTTTCCAGCATTTTTTTAGCGAGTCGAAAAGACATAGGCAGGAAAACAGGCCCGCGCGCGCCGTCCCGCGCTATTCATCTCGATATCTTTAATAGTTCTTATCATTTCTCCATCCTAAAAACATGGTTTTCGATAGATTTTTGCCTGCTCTTTCGATTGGTGCAGCTTAAATTGCAATCGGAGGATACATTTTTTGGATAAATCGACTTAAACATTCAAGTCGAGTTTTAACCTCAAAATCAATTTTTAAGAATTTTTTGAGTTACACCACTAGAAAGAGGAGAAAAAAATCTGTCGATCCATGGGTTTGGATTTTTTTTCTGACCCTTGGTAAACGTTTCCGAGCGAGCTAAACATACGACACTTTCGGCCAAAAATGCCGTAATCGCGCGGGGTGGCCGACTTATGCTGGACGCGCTCATATATAGTAGGGTGGCTCGCTTTTGCAAAAATGTTAAAAATCGCGTATACGTTATGGCGATTCTTAAAGTTCAAGTCTTTACGAAAAGAAAGCCGAGTTCAGAACCTCAAAAAAGTGTCAGGAATCGGTGTCGATCGATTTTTGAAGTTTAAAAACGTGCTCCAAAATAGGAGCAAAATCGGTCAACCATTCAATTTATTTCAAACTGTGTTTCAAGAGTAAAAATAATATCGACAATACAATTCCTTACGTATTTTTGTCTGTAAAATCGAATACCGTAGTCAGTTTTGCTCTACGACTTCGTTTTCATCGATAAAAATGTACTTTTTTGATTTTTTTTCGCTTAAAAATCCAAAAATCGACTTTGCAACGTTTAAAAATGAACAGAAAAAATCTTCGAAAATTTTTGCTACTACAAAAATTTAGGATTTCTTATGACGAATCCAACGGTATAAATTAGTATATACTTTAAAATTATTTTCGTTCATAAAAATGCAAATTTTCGATTTTTTTTGGCTGAATTTGACGAAAAATCTAAAAAAGAGCCCTTTTTGAGAGAAAATGCTCTTAAAAAATCCCGCTGCAACATTTTTTTTGTATTTTTTGCTGTAAAATTTAATGACGTTGTGATTTTTGTCCTAAAATATCGTTTTAGAAAAAAAACGATTTTTTTTCAAAAACATCTCGTTTTCGGGATTTTTGTCAAATTCAGCCAAAAAAAATCGAAAACTTGCATTTTCATGAACGAAAATGATTTTAAAGTATATACTAATTCATACCGTTGGATTCGTCATAAGAAATCCTAAATTTTGGTAGTAGCAAAAATTTTCGAAGATTTTTTCTGTTCATTTTTAAACGTTGCAAAGTCGATTTTTGGATTTTTAAGCGAAAAAAAATCAAAAAAGTACATTTTTATCGATGAAAACGAAGTCGTAGAGCAAAACTGACTACGACATTCGATTTTACAGACAAAAATACGTAAGGAATTATATTGTCGATATTATTTTTACTCTCGAAACACAGTTTGAAATAAATTGAATGGTTGACCGATTTTGCTCCTATTTTGGAGCACGTTTTTAAACTTCAAAAATCGATCGACACCGGTTCCCGACACTTTTTTTGAGGTTCTGAACCCGGCTTTCTTTTCGTAAAGACTTGAACTTTAAGAATCGCCATGACGTATACGCGATTTTTAACATTTTTGCAAAAGCGAACCACCCTAATATATAGTAATAATAATGTAGAATAAATGTAGCAAAATAAAAAGTAAATCTTGTGAAGGTCATCTCTCTTACTTCAATAAAAGCAACAGTCAAAAATAATAATATCACAATAAAAATTATTCGATTAATTATTATAATTATTGCCAAAAATGATATAATAATAATGTTTTGATATATTTTTAAATTGTTTTGACTGGTAGTTTTATTTGAGTAACAAAAGAATAACCATCACAAGATTCGTGTATTTAATTTGACTTCTTAGATTATTGCCGATAATAAGGATATTAATGATAAAGAAGCATTTAAAGTCTGAAAATAATAAATTATTGTATTCCCTATCTAAAAACTCCATTTTTGCAAATGTTTAATTAGCATAACCCTTATTGAAGTGAGAGTTTAATCATAAGAAAAAATAGATATATCGCAATAACAAGTGTCTTCGATTGCAACGGCTCGAAATGAAAGAGTGTAACGAGTCATTTTCTTATAGTACAGTAATAAATTGTAAATTGTTATTTAATAAAAAGTAATATTTCAGTGTCTAATCGACACGTGTTTTAACAAGTTCAGCCGAACTTTTTTCTATCCCAGACTTATATGAAAAAATACTGTGAAAGTAATTTGAAACTACGTATTGTGGAGTTTGAACATTTTTCTGCGAATTGAAAAACAATTATATTTGACATTTAACTACTTGAAATTAAATCAAAATATGAAAAAGATCCAACCACATGTTGGAAAATCAATGAAATTGGTAATCTTATAAGTACTTTTCGAAGCAACATTGAATCAAAAAACGGTTGAAATTTGTTAATTACTCGAGAAAAAAAATCATCAAAGTAAAGCGTCGTGATTTTCCAAGCGAACGCCAGCATAAAAGTCAGCATTCGAGGAGAAAGTAATCGGACTGGACAATCGCAGCGTAAAGTTTTGACCATAAATTTTATCTACTATCACCGAACACGTGAGAGCCCACCGCAGCAAGTGCGAAAATAAGAGACTGGACGCGCGAGCGAGGGTGGGCTTAAATCTGGGACATATCGCACCCTCAATACACTCGAGCGCAATAATAAAAGTTTCTCCTACCGAAATAAGCGTTGCGTCGAGTCGGATCCGTACATAATACTCACTTGTTTTTGCGCTAAACTAGATTGACTCGCAATAAAAAGAAAAATTGCCTTTCGATTGTCCGGAGCGGTGTCGTAGGATAATGCCGCGTCCCCAAGGACGGTCAACAGCCTTTCGGAAGTTTTTTTTTCTTCTTCGGCAAGTTACAAGTGTATCGGTATACACACGTATAAAAGGTTTTGTTTAAAAAGGTCGTTCGAGAATTCCGTGTTCTTGGGAGAGTAATTACAACACCGTAGTACGTGTGTATATTTGGAAAATAAAAACTTTATTTATTGCGCTTCACGTAAACTTATACAATTAATTTATATTTTTGTTTGTGTGATCGATATATCATATATATTCATAAGATGCGTGAAGGTAAAATAAAACGATTTACACTCGTTCAAGTTCAAACAATTGTGCTATCTAAAAATTCGTTATGTATTTAGTAAAGGTAACTATCGTGATAAGATACAAGGTACATAAAACTCAATCATCTTTTATTGACAAAAAAACTTATTCGGTCTACGATAAATTGAGACTCTCAACCTTGCTTTGTAATCGGGTTGCAACTATTCTGCACTAACGTAAGATGTGCAATGATTAATTTTATACCGAAATCAAAATTTTATATTCGTTCATGAACTTTTGTAATTAAAACAGCTAAACCGTAGAGCGGCACTGATCCATTTCTTCTTTCAACGTAGCATTCACAATTTTTATTATATTGTCTCTGACTGTATAAGACAAAATAGTCGATCTTGTCTCATGTACATCAATTAACTATAATCGTCACTCAAAGTGTTGCACTGAAACAATTTACATTCTAGTATTTACAAATAGCATGGGTGGCTATTGTAATCGTTGTAATCGATTTGCCCTTTATTTTTGCGTTTTTTCGATAAAATACAAATTATTTGGTGTTTCTCGTAAACGTCCTGCAAATCATTCTTTTAACTTACGACCAATGAACACGTAACATTGCGACAAATAGAACAATAATTTTGCACTCGTTTAAATTATTATCGTATCGTACAAATGTACATGAACACATTTATTGCGTATCAATTTAACTTACAAATATACGATATTGTTAAACTATTCAAGGACAATGCGACCACTGAAAGGAAACGGACGTACACATATATAGGTATACATGCAGCGCTTGGATTACCAACACAAATGATGGATAGATATATCGTCGAAATAGTGAAGGGTAATTTTGTAACAACAATGCTGGAGCTTACAGAGAGCTAAAACATTAAAGGATTTTACATTATCACGTCCTTTAACACCATTCGAATCAGATCGATTACGCATTGTGTATACATGACATAAAATAGTTATTATTTTTCAATTTTTTTTCTTATTTTCAACAACGCGTCTGTAGACATTTTTTTGACAGCGCACAACGTTGAAGTTAAAAATACTTTTTGAATCGTAGGAATATCTCGATATGCTTCAATTTATGAGAGTCCTCGAAATAGTTCGTACTCGGCGATGCGTTTCTTTGAAACAAATACAATTTATAGCGTGTATATAGCATTGTAAATATCGCGAGTTATAAACCTTGAAACAATACCGACAGTCTCGGGAATTAACATATATTTTTTCAAGTACACATGTATTTTTTTTTATATTATTATAGAGTAACAGAGTTCCAGTCAGGTTTATTCTTCAAACTTTTCAGCACATAGTAAATTCACTTATACTATTATACATATGAAAAGCAATAACTTATCGATATGTGGAAGAATTAGTACAAAACACTATAACTAAAGTATGCGAATTGCTTTAGCGCGTTGGTATAAAAAAATTCATACTTGGCAAGTATCATATTGCTCTAGCCGATTGATTATTAAATCACACGTCGTTGGCTATACAGCTATCGCGTAATCAACGTATTGCTTTGATTCTGTAAACGCCTAGAGCTGAAAACAAAAATCGTCGAAGCTTTGCTCGATGAATTTTACAACTATTAAGATACTTTTTTAATATTCATTACATACTGGCACAATCATACTCAAAATCACATGGTAAAATCATCGTAAAAAAACAAATCTTCAATTGTTATTATTTTGATATCATAACAGCCACATGATTATAGAAATAGTATAAATTTTAATAATCTTAACTTCAGAAAAGGGATAAATCTACAGATTCATAATTTTTTGGGATGAGATACGATATTTGTAAGTATGTATAATAATAATTTTGTTTGAAATATATTAGGCCTTTTTAGGAAGAGTCACGATGATCAGAAAACTCATCTTCATGAATTATTAGAATCAAGAGTAAAAAAATACTCGAGAGGAATAAACCAGTTACGAAGAAGTTTCTATCTAATATTAAAATTTTCTAAAATATTATTTCGGGATATTTCGTATTAGATAAATATCAACTTTTTTTACTATTTATCTTTTCATTTCATAATCTGACATAATTTTTGTGATCAATCTCAAATTTATGTCACATAGTTTGTAGTGGTAAATCGTTTATTAAAATATCGTATTACTGTACCCTTATGCATGCTTTGATGAAGGAAGAATGTTAAAGACCTGCTTGAACATTTTCATTTTGTCGGCAATTCGTATAATCAGCATTTTTATTTACAATTCTTTGAGACTTACACATTAGAACCAATTATACGTAAATTCGTCGGCAAAACTTCAATTAACATAACAATTTACTTATAAAATAATATGGTTACAACACAGTATAATGATTATATAGTATAAAGATATATGAATATAATTATCAAATTTATAAAAATTATTTTTTAAAAAAAGTGCATTTTTCAATCTAAAACTCGTTTTTTAACTCAAAATCAAGCTTAGTTTTAGATAGAAAATAATTATAATTTAAAATGATATTAAAATTATAAAAAAGGAATTGTGCATTTAAAACCAAATTTCAAGAACATCCGATGTTCAAAAATATATCGCTACATAGATATTATATATACAATTTCATATGTATATTTTTTTACAACGTACTAGGTTACTTTGGAAGCGCTTAAATAAGTTACAGAGGGTTCAATTTCTTTTACAAAAATTGCATTGAAATCGTTGCGCAAAAAATCTTGTAATCATGATTATTGAATAACGAAGAGCCGTAACGATACGCTTCCGTTAGCCGACTAAAATAATTGCGCGATTTTCTGTAAAATTGTTGCACTATGAAAAATTGATTATCTCCTAGAAGAGGGTAAAAATTGCATAATTAAAATCCTACTCAGTACATTAATGGTACACAAATGGTAACTCATACACATACACACAAGTACAACAAGATGCATTGTTGATTGTTTAACCGCACGTGTCATAACAGCTTGTGGTTTTTGATATTATCATCATTTTTACAACTATATGTATACTAACCATAAGACACAAAGAACGGCAGAGCTTTTCACTTTAACGATCATATAATATGGTCATTTTCGATGACTGATGCAATTGCGCAATCTATTGTCTACAAATCGTTTACTTAAAACTATAAGCTACACTAGTGGTGACAATGAAATTCCATCCGTATGTATTCTCTACGTATGTATTGTGGGGGAGAGGTAATCGATTAAATGTACTTCATGACTGAAAGTATAGTATCGAACGGCTCTCAGCACATGGTCTCGCTGGCGGGTGCCGCGACGTCTTTGTCGTTCGGATCGGACTCGTTGGAGCCTCTGGTGGCGGCCGGTTGAGCGAGCGTATGCTCGATCTCTCTGGTAACGTTGATGCTCGGTGGCATGCGAAGTCCGCGACGTCTTGGCCCGGAAAGGGTGTCATCGGAATCGATGGCCGCGCCACGAAGTAACCGAGGATGCGACGTCTCGGAATTGACGTAAAACGTCGTTGAACCTCCCGCAGCCTCATCGAGTTTGTTGCTTTCGTCGTCGTCCACGTATCTGGTTGAAGTTTCGTTAGTAATGAAAAAATTCAAGTAGAATATGGAATATATTTCAACGGGTAAATTTACCTTCTCTGTATCAAATCTTCCATTTGTTGATAATCACACTCCTCGGCGTTGCGCAGATGTTTGTTCTCAACCTGCCAGGCCGTCTCGACGATGTTCTGGCTCTGGCTCCTCTCCGACATGGTTCTGACGCGTATGGGAGGTGGCGAGGTAGGCGGCGATCTCGGCGGACTCAACAAGCCGCAGAAGCTCTCAAGCTCGTCGGTTATGCTGGTGTACTCAGCGCGCATCGACATGAGCAAGGAGCGCGAGGTACTCGAGCTCGAGGACTGAAGCAGGGCCACGCGCGGCTCGGCCCAAGTTACTCCGCGCTGAAAACTGGCCGATGGCACGACAGCCGCTGCCGCTGCCGTGGCTGTGGCTGCTGCGGCCGCCGCTCCAATGCTCGTTTTTTCATTCATCGACTCCGAACGCGTTCGACTGTTACTGTTCTGGCGGCTGGGCAATTCCGTTGAATCCTGGTGAGATTCCGTGGTCGTGGCTTCACCGGAGGTCGCTTGATCTTCAGACGGCTCGTTTCTCAATTCTTTCATCTGAAAAATTGTCAAAAATTAGATGGCTGTCGGCTATAGATTGAAAAAAAAAAAAAAAAAAAAAAAACATACCTCAACATTTACCTTTCCTGTCTCGCTGTCGTCGTGACTCATTGTCGTGTCTTTACTCTCATCTCTGAGAGCGGCGACATCGCCTGCACTAACCGATGACTCGTTGACGCTGACGTTCTCGCCGGACTCGTCGAGAGCATCCACGACGTGGACCTGCCTGGAGGGTACGACGAACGGCTCGTCGTGCTCGCCCGTTATCGAGGACTGCGATTTGAGTCCGGCAGCGAGATAAGCCGCGTCGGTCATGGCTCGTTGCAGCAGCTTCTTGCGCCTGAGCGGCAGCGAGCTGAGCTGAGTGTGCGACTCGGCGTCCGACAATCCGGCCTCGGAGCGCTCTGAGACGCGTCGCGGTCGAACGAAGTCGCTCGAGACCACGTCCAGGTGGCGCATGAGGCCCTCGGTGCTGGCCGCGCGCTCGCTTATGCCCGGCGTCGCGCTGTGTCCGGCCCCACCCGAGGCGGCGGGCGGCATGTGCGTGGCCATGAATCGATGTATCACTCCCAGCGTCGCCAGGGTCTGCTCGTTCAGCTCCTCCAGTATCCTTACGCGCGATTGGACACCCTGCGGAAGAGAAAAATGCTGTTGTAATTTCTGCCGCGGTACCATTCTTTCTCTGTGTTCGCTCCACGCCGTTAATTTCACGCTCCTTGCATAAATCCGCGAGCCAAGTCTCTCTATCTCTGTCGAACCACATCGAATCACGCAATCGAGCGTCGTTCCAGTAAAATAGTGCAGCGTCAGCGGCGCGTACATAATCGCGAGAATGAAAACGGGCATTGCGTATATGCTATGCATGTAGCGCAGCAAGGATAAGTACCTGCATCGACGTGGTCAGGTTGCTCCCCTTCTTATCGATGTCCTCGATTTTCTGATGCATGTTTTCGACTCGCTCGGTCGTGACCTTGACCCGCTCCTCCATCGATACCTGGAGTTTTTGCTCTTGCTCGCGGAAGTAGCCCTCCACGCAATCCTCCTCAAAGTCGTACAAACGTTCCAAATCGTCAGCCGTGAGAAAGAGCTTCAAGCCGTTATCGCTAGTCTCGCCCGTCTGTAGTCGACCTTGCGTGCACAATCTGAGTGTGTGCGATTTTAAGGCACAAAAAACAACAACAACAACAACAAAGGCAATCAATCAATACTATGATTCGCGTAAACAAAACGTTATCATTATTATATGGATACAAGATCGGCGTACATACCTGAATAAAAATCGCGCGAGTAAGTACAAGTGGGAAACAACGATGAGCGGCGGTGGGAGCACGGGCTTCTGCTCGTACTCCATGACGACGGTAAAGCGCTGGAACATCCAGACCTGATGGGCCACGGCGTTCACCTCGATGAAGATGTTGTTGAACACGGCTATGAGCAGATTGATCAGCAGGATGTTGGCCACGAGCAGATAGACCGACATGGCGATCGGCGTGATCCATCTGCCGGGCAGGCAGGGCGCCATCGCCGGATCCTTGTCGCATTCCGGATCGATGCGATCGGCGTACACCTCGCCGTACAACATGAAGTACGGCTCCATGAAAACCTGTGTGCCAAGGGGGCGCGCGTACAAATTACAGAGATCGTAAGTAACGAGAGTCAAGAGAGAGCGAAAAAAGAGTTAGAGATAATTTCCCATTAAACTTGCGAGCTTCTCTCCCCTTCCCTTCTCTCTCGTGGGTAGTTAGCGCGAGATTAAAGCCCATCTCGGGTCTACCCATACTGCTACTAATACTACTTGACGATGCTCGCTCGAGCGAAAGTCATGAGTTTGCGTTTATAAAATCGAGCCTCTCAGCTGTTTTTCCTACTTACGTCTCTGACTATCCTCATATTAGGATCCGCATTAGGATTCAAGATGGCCTGGCGGGCAACGCCGAAGCTCATCAAGACCACGAGCAACAGCACGACGAAGTAGATCATGTTCTTAACCATTTTGCCCATCATCGTCACGAGGGGACCTGCGTCAATGAGAAAAGAAATCGCTGTTAAGTCGACGGAATATCATATTTTTTTTCACGAGAGAAAATTCATAAATGCAAATTAGTTATTAAAAGTCGTGAATTGCACACATAGACTCTCTTCAGAGAGCGAACCCTCATTCTGAGCCGCATAAGATAAAGCTCTTTTGACCCAGAGCTAAGTACTGTACATATACTTACCAAGTACAATAGAGCCAAGTAGTTATTTAAATAAATGTTCTCTTAGGGAAAATACAGGAGAAGGCGAAATATGTACTGGAGGTATTTAAGAGGCCACGTCGTTGAGTAAGCTATCACACTGGCGAAACCTAATTTACTGTTACAACGCGACCCGGTCGAATTTACGAAGTTGAAAAAACTTCACACTCTCTGCGTATAACTACGGGCTTTATGAATTAATGTATCACTGCGATCACTGGATATTAATTTAGGCCGCATAATTGAATGTAGAGGCAAAGCGTATCTGTGTGTGAGTGTACACGCGCGGCTGCGACCGAGGGAAATCGATAAAGTTTACGAAATTAATTACAATTCCGTATGGACCTTAATTCATTATAGCATCGATTACTGTCGCCCAGGAGCGAGATTACTCTCTCTCTCTCTCTCCCGCAGCAGTTCCAAGTTATATACTGCATATAAAGCGGTAGCATAGATTATTATTCGCCCCCGCTCGCCTGAGACGTAATACCGCGCGCGCGATGTAAAATTGAAAGCTTCCGCAGGGCAAAGTGCATATAGCGCAGTATACAGAGCGAGTGTAAAGAAAAAGTTTCTCGTGCTACGCACCAAAGAGTCGCCCGATTATTAAGCGAAGCTGAAAGAGTTTTGACTGCGTTACGTAAAAGTTACTGCTACAAGCCAGCCAAGTTATTAAAAAAAAGTTCATCCCCCGCAGTTTGTCGCAAGTGGAATTTTATTACAGAGAAAACTAATAGCTAGAGCTCACCCAGATACTTGTTGACGCCGAGGATGTTGAGCATTCTCAGGTACCAGTACATGCAGCTGACGCAGTAGATCGTGCGACCCTCCTCGAAGCTCGACGGCCTCAGCCTCAGCACCAGGCCGATGAGGAAGAATATGATGGCCCCGGCGTCGCAGGGATTCCACAGGTTCCACGTCCAGACGCTGAACTTGTGCGACAGCGTCACTGGCTCGCTCGTCGCGATCTCGCGCATCTTCTCGCAGCCCATGGTGAGGATGTAGGCGATGGCGAAGCACTCGGGCCAGGACGGCGTGTCGGGCATACGCACGAGAATCGTGTACGAGAACAGCACGAGGAATATCACGTATGCCGTCTGTGTTTTTGGTATTTGTGAGAGAGAGAGAAAACATTTGTTATTAACAGACATATCCTTGCCAAAGGGGCGTTGCGCTACAATCGCAGCCGCGATTACTCTAACGAGCGAGAGAGAGACAAGTCCGTACCACCGCGAGTCGTTCTCATTAGTTGCAAAAAAAGCTCGACACGGATAATTTACAAAGCTTTGACAGGCGGCGCACACAGCTTTCATGCTACATAATGGCCGTTGAGTCCCGACGCGCGCGCGGATGCTCGTTTATTAAAAGCCGACGAGCGTATATATAGCTTACGCTCCAATAATTACTGAAACCCGTTTAAAAAACACAACAGCGCGACGATTCATCTCTCACAATGCAAAACAAAGAGAAAGAGAAAAAAACCCAACTACTCACAGCATTGGCCCAGAATTTCGTAATGGGCGCGGTGTAAAATTCGTACAGCTTCTTCTTGTTCTTCAGCGGTCTGCTGGACTTGTTGTCGTACAGATAATCGGTGGTGACGCCGTAGGCTCGATGCGAGCCGACCTCGTCGACGTCGGTGTGCACCTTGCCGTTACCGTGGACGATCGTCTCCTTGGGCACGGCTCCGGTGCTTTGGTCCTTGGCGATCAACGCTTGCTAAGAATGATGAACAAAAAAAACAGCCGGCCGAAAAAAAGCGCGCATTTTAATTTCCATGAAGAAGTTGAATTTTTATGAATTAATGTGTATTTATATCGACAGGCACACAGTTATCCGTTTCTTCATTAATTGTAAAACGAGACTTTGTATTATATATAGAGACAGTTACGAGAGAGATGGACTATCAAGTTTTTCGAGGAAAATTTGACAATTACATTGAAAAATTGTTAGTCCAGCGGTATTAGAATTTTGCAAACATTATGCTATTCGACATTCGTGAGTAAATAGCTAAACATATGACATGAAGTAGAATATTACATCAAGGTATTTGTGTAATTACGTAAAACCGCATCGAATAATGCGTACTTTACGGGATTAAATGTACACAACATGAATAATAACGATAATAATAATGATAATTAAATCGTTTTCAGAGTTTAATACCGTCCATCAAGTGGTTCATATAATTAATTGATGGAAAGAGCAGTTTTCATAAGCAAGTTTAATTAAAAGCTATGCCATCCACATAGCGATCGTTCAAGCAACGCAAATTATGTGATATTATTAATTTAAAAAAGATAAATGGGTCGAAATAATCTAATTATAGAATATTTTATTATAAAAGTGGAAATAGGAAATAATAAAAAAGTGGATGCAAGAGTAAAGGCTTATTAACATTTCCTCCAAAGTGCATTACCACTAAGTTTTATATCCTGTTAAAAGTAATGTTAAAAAGGGGGTAGTAAATATCGAAAGACAAGCAAAAATTGTAAAAAATTTGAAATAGTGTTAATATTCAGTGACATTTTTAAATTAAAAAAAAGTTTCCCATTAGTCATGAAAAGGTGATATACGAGTGATTTATTTCGTTTGCCCATTTGCATAAATCATTTGAAATCCCCAAACCATACAGACAATAAAGCAAATTTTAGACAAGCAACATGTTATATTCGTGTCATTTTGTTGTTGTTTTTCGTACATAACAAAAGTATTCGTGACGAAATGTGTAAAAAACGTCTTACACTATAGGAAGTAGTACACAATAGGCAGAGATAGAAGAAGAGTAGTAGTAGTAGTAGATCAGCGTAGAAAAGTTAGTAACAAATGTGCAAGAGAGACTTGCGACGTACATATTATATGAAAAAAAGCGAGAGTTTTTTAAACAGAATATTTTTTTTCTTTTGTCGGGATTTTATCTGTACCTTATTACTACCCTGCTGACTGATTGTTTTGCAGCGTATGCTCATGCTTCTGCGCGGCGGGCGTTTCTACAATAAAACAATCATCATAGCATACCGGAAAAGCAATCATCGGAATCGATTAGCTATTATATACAGCTCTCGTACGTACGCACATCCTTTTTTACTATTTTTTCATGTAAATATTGCAGAAAAATGAAAATTAATCAAGAGTAATAAAATAGTTTTCAAAAACAAAAAAAAAAGAACATAGCTTCAGCAGCTCCATAAAAGTTAATCACTGTAAAGTGCAAAACAGAGATTCGATCGGCCTTTGTCTCCTGAAGCACAAAACGAGCTTTACCAAAGCTCATTGTGTTCATTAGCAGTCGCTACAGAGTGAGCGTTAATATATATCTGCGTGCATTAGTCACCATAAGTAGCTTTCTTTTGAAAGTTAAGAATGTTTCAATGCTGTACACGTCGAATTGTTAGTTGACAAAAGTAGAAAACTTAGACACACGCGTTCTGCTGCTCTCTCGTAGATCGTTAAGAAACTTTTTTTTCTCTTCTCCTCTCCGTTCTATATATAGGATATTATATGTGTGCTGCTATTATCACCTCCCTCGATTCAACGGGGGGCGCGCGCGCTTTTCTTTGTGTATAACGACGTCTCTAATGCATTAGTCGATACTCGCTCCATTAGGGAGGAGAGCATTTCTGTTCCAACTACTACTACACGCAGCAGCAGCATCCATTGCGCGCGCGAGAGAGAGCAAGAGAGAGGCAAGTTAATTTCGAGATCGAGAGGCGAGTGATTTTTCATTATTGCCCGTTCGTGCCCCGGATTCTTTAATCTATTTTGCTCGTTAAAGCTCCGCGGGGGAGTCTTCGTGGAATTGCTTTTGTCGAATGTATCAATTGACGAATCGACGCCAGCGAGAGAGTTGACTTACCTCGACGTCGGGGCTGGGAGGCGTGCACGTCTCGGACTCGCTGTCCTCGTTCTCGTCCTCGAGAGCGATCAGGTGCTCCTCGGCCGTCTGCGGCATGAGCTGTAATTCTTCTCGACTTTTGAATTCCAGCCTGGGTATATAGAATGGACAGATGAGACCTAGCATGATCTGCAACAGGGGCAATGGGAAATGTTCATCCACGTCTCGATATCCGTATAAGCAATCAAATGCAATTAGGATCGAAATGAAGTTTACCGAAGTGCAATAGTCAATTAAATGTGTCTACGTCGGCCGTTGGCTACTCATTGAAATGAGTTTTTCAGAGAATAATGGTAGACTACGTAATAAAGGAGCGCAATAGCAAAGCCAAAGCAACCAATTCCAGAATAGTATTAAATTTCATCAGAGAGTCCTTTTAAGAATAAATTTGCCTTGTTTTGTTACAAGTATTAATTTACCTTGCGCAGTCTTTCATTGGCCTCTCGTTTCTATTATTTTTAGCCCGAGTAGAAAAGCTTTGTAAAAAGTTACACAAAGCAGCTGCTGCACGCGATCCACGTACGTACCTTGAAATTTGTACTTTTACGAGTACGTAATCCTCCCATCCAGAGGTCGGCCAGGATGATTTGACTGCAGGCGTGGGCGAGCAGCGCTCGATGATTGGCCGTGACGGCCAGCGAGAGGCACGTCTGTCCCGACCAGTTTTTCAGCTCCGAGGTGAGCAGCTGCTGCGTGTGATCGTCGTCCTGGCGATAGCAAAAGTCCAGCAATTCCAGAGCTGAGGAGAAAACACGGGCAAAGTCGTTGATAATAATCACGCTGAGCTTTCGCGCCTGACCAATTTCTGATCTCGTCTACTTACAGATATTCTCGAACTCCCTTCCGTATCCCTTGAGCTCTTCGTAGACCTCGGTCTCGAGATCGTCCTCGGCGGCCTCGTGAGCCATAGCCTTGTAGAGTTTCGAGGCCACCAGGGCCTTGGCCAGCGCCTCCTCGCCGTGCTGCCACATGAGCAGGGCCATCTGCTGTCGCTTGGTCAGCACGGCCCAGATCAGCAGCTCGTTGAAGGGATAATCGAAGAGGCCGGTCTCGAGGGTGGCGGGCAGCGTCTCGGCCAGCAGACTCATGGTGGATTTCTGGCCGCCAGGATTGGCGAACGAGCGATTGTTGACTATGGCGCAGCTGTTGCGATGGGCGTGATGCGACATCAGAGCCCCGGAGCGCTTCATCACCGACGTGTAGCGAAAGCGAAACTTCTTGCTGGTGTACTCGGAGCGATAGGCGCCACCCATGAGCTTGTTGATGACGAGGCCGATGTCGTGCAGGGTGTACATGTAGCCGCGCGGTATGTGCGGCCTGACGTCGCGCAGTATGTAGCCCAGCGTGTTGGTCGGGCCCTCTTTCTGTAACAGCGCGCCATGAACAACGCGACGGTACGGCACACGTGAGATGCGGTTGCAGTTAGCGTTTGCAATTATTCAAAACAGGAAGTGCCGCGCGCGCGCTCTATTGTTCCAAGTGCAGCGTCGCGCGCGTTCCGTGTGGGTGGTCGAGTGGTCGTCGTCGTTTCACAAAGGATAAATGGAGCTTCGAAAAGCCGTCGATCGATCGCTTTTCTCGTCGTTGTGCGAGCTCTGTTCTGGGCGGCAGGCACGCGAAGCGACTCGCACACACAAAACACAATGCATGAAACATTACGTTCGACGGTATTTTTACTTCTTTTTTTTTCTCGTTCAAAACCGCAAGCTCGACTCGATATATAGCTCCGCGATATATGCGGTATAAATATTGATGTTACTATTAGCGCTCGTAAATTAAAGACGAACTGCGTGTGCTCCGGTCTCTCTCGCTCTATCTATCTGTGCCTATATACGTACACGAGTTTATACGAGCGAAGAACGTGAATAGTGCGCGCGGTATATACATCGTTGATTTATTAATGAGACGGCAGGTAGACGCGCACGCTCGCTCGCTCCTGAGTGCGCTAAAAGCACGTTCAAGTGCAGGCGCGCGTTATGATTAGGGTTTAAAATCCACCGTAAAATCGAAGTCGAGAGATTCTTTTCTAGGTCAAACGTTATTCGTTGGGATGAAAATTATCGATTCCCCACCCGAATTTTGCGAAAGAGAGAAACAAACCGATATATTATTCCAGCGCAAGCATACACTTGGGAAAAGGAGACTCGAGTATCGGTGCTTCGTTAAATTCGAGCGCGTTACATATAATGTACGCCGTACAATAAAAAATGATTCGAGGATACACATTGGCAGAGAGTATATAGTAGCGAGCTCAACGTCGAACTCACCGTGTTGTAGAGCTCCTCGAGCCTCGGCATCGTGAGGAACTTCTTCATCGACACGCCGTTCTCCAGCAGCAGCTTGACGAAGTCGATGCGATCGTGCTGCAGCGCCTCCATCATCGAGTGCTCGAGGGCACCGGGAGGCCACTTCTGCCCGTAGACGAAGATCTCGCTGCGGGCTATGTCCACGCGATTCCAGATCAGAGCGAGCGACAGCTGCTCCGCGGCCGACAGCTGCTGAGATCGGAACAGGGCCGTGAGTATAGTTTGGTCGAGCTCCTGCGGCTGATCCTGCAGTCCTACCCTGAATACGGTGATCTAGAACGCACGCGGGGAGCAATCGATGATTATGTAAAAGTGAAAAATAATTTTAAACGATAAATCAAAAGTATAAGTGCAAAAAAAAACTTACGAGATGTCTTTTTCTGATGCACTGGAGCAGCTCCGAGTAAAGTTGATTGGCTTGCTCCAGACCGACGTCGAAGGTCCGCTTGATCGTATCCAACAAGTGGTCTTTTATGTTATCCAGAACCGAATCTCCCTCTCCGTCCGTCTCGTTTTCAACTGCGTATCTAACACAAATCGCGATATATAAGAGTGTCGTTACGTTCTCGATTGAAAACGCGCAAGAAAATCGATCGTCGCATTCGTGATAACAAGATACGGGTATAGGAAAGGATTTGCGATGCTTACTTATGCATGAATGCAAGGATGTCGGCGGCCCGACCGGATCCGTCGCACACGACCACGGGCACGGGCGGCTCGTCCGTCACGTACTCCAGCACCGAGCGTATGGTGTTGGTGCCGCCCTCGATCACCAGTGCCACTACCGGTATGCTGCTGAAGGTATCTGTGGGGAAAGGACGCGAAAAACAACAAAAAATACGTAAATTTTTACGTGCGCAGAAAAACTATGATTGAATAATTTTGATATTTACATGGTTGGAGCTTCAGGTTCGATATGTATTTCTCCAGTTTTCTGCGAAGCATGATCTCGGCTCCGTAACGACCCCCAGTGCCATTGTCGACGAGCAAAAAATAAGAGTGGCGATTGTTCAGTACGGCTAATTTTGACCTACATAAGTAAATTATCATCGTCGAGAATCATCAATGGTCGATACGTTATACGATTAATAGTATTACGTCCGGTTTTATTACTCACCAGGGCGACGCGAACGACTCGTAGGGCATTTCTCGTCCTTTGCCAACGAGCTCGTGGCTTTTTTCGAGTATTCCCCATGGTGCTATGCCGATACTGACAACCCGACCTTGTCTTTGTGCTCGCTCCAATAACAAAGCGTCTCCCACTTGCCTAGTTACTCCTAGAAGAACAACGAAGTATCGTTTTTTCACCTTTGTATATTTTTTCTCCCCGTCTCAATCTACACGGATATTGCTTATCCGTTCACTCGAGAGACCGAGAGAGAATAAAGATTTTAAAAGCGACTACGATGACGACGAGAGTGCCGAGACGAGAGGACTTGCAAATAAGCTCGGCGTTTTCCATATTGTCGGAAACATGAGGAAAAGTGAGACAGACGGAGAATCAACGATCGGCCTGTTTCAATGTGCAATTTAAATTGATCAGTCGCTATACACGACACGTAGCGTGCCGATAAAGAAAGAGCTAGAGATAGACGACAAGCACTATGTACTCGGCGCAAGCTCGAGTACCAGCTAATTAGCATTCGAGAGCTTCTTACATCGATTTTCTCTGCCTCTCGTCGTCGTCGTCGTCGTCGAGCTCAAAGCGAGTTTTTTTCGCAGCTGGTACACGTTATCGTTTCGCTCGTGCTCTCGAGTGGATCGCTAAATTTTATCTTTTTCTCCGCGTCGCTGCGTCGTCGTCGTCATACCTGTATTGGTACCACCGGTGAAGATCCACGCGCCAGTAGTTTTGGCAGCTTTCAAGAGACCCTTGCGAAGCACCTTCTTCAAGGTCGGCTGAAGCTCGAAATTGGAACGGCCACCGTGAACGGTAATAAGAAGCTTAGGGAGGCCGAGGTTCCATTCGCGGCGCAATAACTGTACTATGGGCTCGGGCTTCGTGTCGTGCGCTAGTCTCACGTACTATAAAAACGAGAAGAAGGCGGTAGTTAAATTTTTTATATCTCGATGGAACGTCGAGCTTTTTATGAGAGAGCATTTTTCATGATGACTGATCTTTATTAAATAACTTTGCGCGGACATTAATCGTTAATCAAAATCTCATATATTGTTACGATACCTGAGCCTTGGTTGGATGTGGCAGTCCCTGGAACTCGATGGTACCGTAGGCATCGGTCGGCAAGGGTTTCGTGTTCTTGCCGGGCGTCCATTCCTCGCGTTCGGCCTCGGCGGCGGCTCCGGTGGCGTAGCTCTGGATATCCGCTCCGGTGCCGCAATGATGCGTATACGAGTGACCGCAGCAGCAACTGTCGGTAATTTACACGATAATCTTCTGTTTACTTTTTGGATAAGGATTGACGGAAAATTTTGAAATATTGTATGCAGAAACCTTGATAAAATTTTGGCTACTTTTTACAAAGTCAAGTATTTTGGAGATTATATAATACATTACAACATTTTCATCGATTTGCTGTTCCCTACGACCGTCGATAGATACATAATTTTTATTACGTACTTGGTAATTTTAACGAGTATTTTTTATTTCGGTTCAAGTGCTATTAATAAAGGTTAAAAGCCAGTGTAAATGATATTTGTGTAAGATAAGTCTCGTTGCGTGTGTTGTATAGTAATTTGTTTAAAAACAAAAAAGTAACAAAATTTGAAATAAACCCACACAAACAATGAAACGTGATTGAGCATACGATTATCTGAGAAAATTGGAATTAGGAAGTACAAATTTTCATGATTTATAGATAATGAAAAATAACTCGGAAGATTGGAAAAGTATATCACTACACGGTTCTAATGCCCGACCAACTCGATAAAAGCCGAATGCGAAGAAAAATGGCTTTAATTAAGAAGGCAATTGAATTTATTGATCAGATTCTGATAATATTAGAACTTTATCGAGGTTCCAATTGAACTTATGATCTCCGATAATTATATAAAGTAAAGCCACTATTGCTATAATAATTACAGATACTGCAATTTAGACGTCTCAATAAGATGTTTTATTCAGCAAATATATTGTCGATTAAAAAAGTTCATGCCAAAGTCAAAGAATTATTAAGCAGCTGCTGTAGACGTTCACTGGCGAACGTCGTTAAACTTGACATTTAAAGTCTCAAGCTTCTAACAATGATAATTGAAAATTAACATCATCGTATGAAAGAATGTTTACAAGCAAGAAATACTCTTTCAAAAAATACGTTTAAGCTTATTAACTCCACTCGTCGAAAAAAGATTTGTTAGATTTTTCTACGTAAGCTTCTTTTAAAGCTATAGATAAAGCGAGGCTTATGGCAAAGATCATTTTTTCAAACGGAACGTCCAATAATTTTTTTATACGTAGTACCGCAACTGAATGCAAGATTACCTTATTTCATGTTTGTTATTTATGAAAAATTGTAAAAATTTTGATTTACATATAAAAGTAAATAGTTTTGGTAAAGCTTTGTACCAGTTTTACTTTGAGTTGAACTCACAAAAAAATTGCAAAAATATTTTTCGTACGAATAAAATACCTTACAGAAAATACGATTTATTTTCCGGTTTTGTAAAGAAACATTTTTTGCATTTAGTGCATAGATTTTTTTAACCGCAATATCGGTGCTCGAAAAACTAAAAGCATAACTTCATTCCGCATTCGCCGTACAGTCGAGATCGATTCCGCAAAAGAACGCAAAGTAGGCAATTTCTTTTTACTTCATTTAAAACTGCGCGTGCTAAGCTAAACTCGCTTCTTTGTATTTCGCGCTCGGGCAGTATTATGTATCGTATAACAGAAGCACAGCAACAGGTGGAAGTCCAAGTATACAGTATATAGTAACAGAAATAGAATATACTTGCTTACACACACATACACACATAAACGCAATGAAGTAACGGCGAGTTAGTTTTTAGTGTATACATTTATATAATGGCATAGAAGCTCTGCGTTGTCGATTAGAAGGCTTAAGTCAAGAAAACAGCAAGCGAAAATGAAAGAGACAAAAGAGAGTAGAGAGGGAAAGAAAGGGAAAGAGAAAATAAGTTTTTTCTTTTTTTAAAATACGCACACATACACACAATCACATTACGACACACACACACAGATGCGCTCAACACAAAAATTCAAACCACACAAGATTCGATCTTGGCGCATTTAGCTGCTCTTCTCACCTTGAAGTTGTAATCACGTCGTATTCAGCATTCTTATCGCCTCTAACTTCTTCAAACCTACAAAACGCCATGATGAGACGAAAAAAAATATAAACAGAATAAACGTAAATCAATTGAACTACCAGTGTAATAAATCATATTGTTAACATAAAATTTGTCTTGGTAAATTGTATATAATACATATTTAAAACGTATAACTGATAGCGCGTATTAAGTGTATAATAATAATTAATAACTGATGATGACAGATTAATGCACTAATAGATTTACAATATATGTCGACGCTTCAACGCTATAGAAGTTCATATATTTGGTTTAATACAAGAGAGACAATGTGTGTTTATAGATTACGTACTTTACGGATAAGCAGTATACATAATAAGCAGAGAAATAAATCATGAAATAATAATGACAAAAGTAAGTAATTATCAGAGAAAGTTTTAGAAGTGGTTATAAAAGCGTGATTGACTACAATAGATGTAAATAGACATGAATGAAACGCTTGAATGCGACTTCGTGCATATTATGTTGCGTGTTTTGCATTCGACATATGTGCCATCGATTTTACATATTGTAACCTGGGTCAGGTAAACAAATGTCATTAACAGCTTTTTGTTATTCACCGTCCGAATTTTCGTAAATCTAGCCTTTAATTACTCAATTATAATGGACGAATCGTATATTTTCTTTTGTTTCGACTCACTTGTAAGAGTCAAGTGTTTCTAATAAAAGGAAATCAACGTCACATCGTAACTGTTAGTTATGTGCAAAGTTTACTTACCGGTGCTCGTCTCGGGCACTCGGGATGAATTTCGTGCATTCTCGTTTGTGGAAGGTGGCCTCGATCCAACTTCGTTCTGTTGTCTGCGAATAATAGCGAGGTAGAATTTTTTTTAGTATAACGATGGAATCATCTTTAATGAACTCTTTAATTTGCGGAAATTATCGTGGTAAAAATTGCTTCCAATTTAGTAAACGAATCGAGAATTCACTGAATTTAAAATAATTTTAATGTATTTGAAAAACTACTATAAAATGAAGCAATTTTTTGGGACGGTTTTTTTGTAAATGTAATATTTCTCATAAAATGGTAAATTTGACAAGAATGAATCGTATCGTAGAAAACATAAACATTATTGTATAGTTAAAGTGCAAGTTATAATAACGAATGAAGTAAGAATTACAAATAAAATTAATAATATTATTACGAAACGTGCTGTGTAAACGATACAAAATTTAAAATTCATAATATGACAAATAAAAACAGCTTTTGACAGAAAATTATACAAAAATACGTCTCAGCGTGCCATTACTATCATAACATAATCGATGATTATGCGTGCATTTTTCTATCGAATCGAAAAACTGTTTGTGCTGTGTTTTATATACTGCTGAGGTTAAAAAAGGTAATGTTTACTTTATGTGTTATAAAAATACAATGAAACACAAATATTTATCTCAATTTTTTCCCATTAGCTAATGCTTGTTTCGTGTGAGATAATACTTCGTAAAGAAATAAAATAGCCTGAACTGGCGTTCATAAAAATTTATTTTACCATAAAACTGTCAGCAGATTTTTATTTATAAATTATTTGCCAACTGTTAGTATATTTCTTCCAAACCACCGAGCGTGTTAAGCTGAGATTAATAAATAAATAAAAAAAATTATCATAAAATACCTTCGCTTTCTTTCGTTTGATTCTAGGAGCATTAGCTCCGCAGATTATATTTCCAATAGCCATCTTGATTATTGACACTTGTACTTTCAACCTATATCATTGTCAATCAAAATCATAAAATAGTGCTGAGTGAACATAAGAACAAAAACGTGTTACCTTAAAAATAATAAACTCACTCTTAAAATAACAAAACACTTTTTTCATCATTAATATATTCATAATTATCAAAACCGAAAAGAGAAAGAAATCGGAGAAACGATTGGTACACAATACGGGCACTGCGACATCATGACACCGAACGCACAGTGTGAAGACTGAAAAAAGCTGTCGTCGGGAGTATACGCCGACAACACAACGAGGAGAAGATAAGATAAATTTATATCAGATATAGCCTATACGAACAAGAGAGACACAAAGAGTAGAAGGTGACTCTGATTGTTCTTATTAAAAACACTATTATTCGTGCATCGTGTGTGATAAAGTCACAAACCAAAGATAAACTGATTTTACTACTTGAAGAAGGTGTACGAGAATTTGCCATCATGGTTAGAAGGTGAAATTCTGTCGCTCGAAGTCGTTGTGCATGTTGAATGATGCAGCGATGTGCGTCGGGATAAAAGCTTAAGGTTGTTTCAGTGCGTACTAAAAGTACGAAAATGTTCGGAAAATGTGCGGTAGCGGTTGTGCACGTGGACACACGGGTGGCTTATATATTTTAATAGTGTCCTAAAGTTGACGTGAGTAAAGTAGAGTTATTATGAAAGATTGCGGTGAGTGGAGTATGTTTCGAATTGAGAATTGCAAATGAGAGAATAAAATTTCATTTTTCCCCGACATTTGCATAAATGCCTTGAGGGAGCACAAATTATATGTTTCATTGTTGATCTTGCATTTTCAAATTTTTTAATATTTCGTGCGTATTTTCTCATTTACAAGTTACGGTGAATTTTTACTTTTAGTTTCATTATACTTTCGTTGTACGCAACATTTAAAAAAAATAAACTTACCAATATTAATTAAATGAAAAGACAGACACGAAATTAAAAAAATGTTTTCCTCAATTTTACGGGGCGTAACAATTTAAAAAAAAAGTTTACGAATGTAATATAACAAGCACAACTAAAAAGTACTCTAAAAGCTTGAACTTCTACACTTTTGAACTCCTGTATTTATTTTACTAGACTCGAAAGTAGCAAACTTGCAGCTTAAAAAATGCTAAGTTAAAAATTGAGAAAAACTAAAACTACTACTTGTAATAAGGTTGATGAAAAAATGCGATGTAGTGCTAACAAAACATATATAAATATATAAATAGTAAAAAGATGAGTGACATACCACTCTGATACTTTTCCCCTTGTGCATCATCCCTCTAGATTTTTGTGTGTAGCTGCTCGGCACTTCGCATTTTTTCCTGTGAAAAAATTGATGCTTCATATGATACTATTCTTCCAACGTGTTTTATCGTTGAAAATTTTTAGACATTCTGAAAGGTTAGTTGCGAGCTTTTATTGTTGAATGAACCTCTTGATTCTTGGGCACATATCTAACTAATGAAGAGCTGCAATTCAAGTAGGTCAATTTGAATTTTGTTTTCGCTTGTCAAAGAATTGAGATCAATGATATTTATTACCTTAAAAATAAAATTGGCTACAAGATTTATATCATTTTTCATTAATTTTACTACCAACAATTAAGGTCTTGTAACGACATAATCATACAGATGATGGCACGTGGGCATTGAGCTATGAAAGTCCTCAAAGATCATAGGTATATTTCCCTCTGTAAGCATACAAAATCATAGTTGTTGGATTTTCTTCGCCGCAATAAATAATTAAAATAGTAAAAATTGTCAAGCAAAGTCATGTAAAATTTGACGTTGAGTGGTCTTTTTTATCACTTTAGCACGATACTTTGAGCCGAAGTCTGAGTAGCTTTTCTCGAGTTTCAGTAAATAACCTTTGAATAATTTATCGCTGAGGAAACACGATGATAAGAAGAGCAAACTTACAAAAAGTTAACAAAGTAAAATATAAAATGATGTACGAGGTGAACTTGAAGTGCTTGTTTGCTCAAACGAACTTTTGAATAGTTAGAGAACTGCACAATCTGCTGTAAATTGAAAAGTTTAATTGATTTCGAAATTAGAGAGGTGTCGTACAACTTCAGCTGCTCACTGCTTATCGTTTACAACGCACTCTTGATATTAAATAAACGTATCTCTCGAAGACACTATTGAAATCTCTCAAAACTTACATCTAAGTGCGCGGAATTAAAATTTATATCTTAGCTGTCGAGTTATTGTGGGAATTTGTTGTCGAGAATAATTTGTAAAATCTTGTTTCATTATCAGACTGGTATTTTTATCGATGATTTAATCATTGAATTTATAATGTCGGAATACAAATCTCATAATTAATGTTCCAGATGATCTTTTGTAGATATTCGAGAATTCAGGTCTATGCAATCATCGATAGAGTGAGCAAAGCTTATTAAATAATATTTGCAAGATTTTAAATCTGTAACAGAAAATTACGTGAAGCGTACGATAAGTAGCCTTTCTTACTGTTATTTTTCCTTAATCTATTATCTTTGTCAGAATTGAAAGTTTATCAAAGAAAGTGTCCATATTAATTCATCATTTTATAATACTTCTATCGGTGGAGTGCACAGTGGAATAAAAATTATAATTTTCAACTTTTCAATAGTATTAGGCGCAGAATTTCGCTTATCTTTTATCGTCATAAGCAGCAGCAACAGCGGTGCATCGTTGCACGAAAAAAAAGAAAAAGGAATGAAAAAATTTTTCAACGCTTGCCATATTGCGAATGTGACCTGTATTCAACCATAATATACAGGACTAACGCATAATGCATGGTTTAGAGCTTTTTTCCATTGCCTACTTTTTCCCGAACAAGGAGCTAAAAACACTTTTTATATATCATTCTCAAGCTTGGTTGCGCGAGAAAGAATTTTTTTTCTCGGGGCGCAACACGGTAAATTTCTCCGCGTTATACTCGAAAACGGAGAATACGCTCACCTGCTTGTGTCTTTGTGAGTGTGTGCACGCGCGTTATACGCGCCTCTGCGACTCGAGGTCGGGATGAATTTTAAACGCTCAAAGACGAAGGGTAGAAAGGCATTTATAGGTTTGTGCGCGCTGGAGGTTTTCGTATCTGATACGTGCGTAGCAGTGAAAACTGCGAGAATATGAACGTATGAATATTGCATGCATCCAATCTTCTTTTTTCATAAAACTGCCTCGAGCGGAATGAAGATAACAATAAAATACGATTAAAAAGATACATTAGAAACTTGGAAAATTTGATAGCTATATTCCCTCGGGGAGTTACATAGAGAAAAATTATTAAAAAAAAGAAATATTCTCTTTTAATAACTGATATCTCGTTTTCTATCTCGTTCGTCTAATGGAAACGCTTCAATGGACTGCTATACATACGGGAATACGATTGAATGCGTTTATAATTTATTCCTCGTCAAGGGTATATTTGACATCGTTGAAAGTGCAGCTCTCGCACGTTTTGAAGTAATCCAATGAAATCGAATTACTCCAAGTAGGTTACATGCACATTAGAAAGGAAAAAAAGAACCTATCGTTGATTAAGTCACGTATCATATACCTATAAGACATTTCTCGCGGATCTTTGTCGTAGTTGTTGCTCTTTGCACTTTAAGTTCGCTTCTTATTCTACGATTCATTTTTTTTTCTCTCGCGATAGTATCTGTGCGTTTAAAGCTCGCGTAAACTCGCGTCAACTCACCTCGTTTGCACGCAGTAAACGTGCACGAAATGGAGAACAAACACATCTTTTTACGAGTATTCCTAACACCTCTTCGAGAGAGAGAAATACTCGATTTCGAAAAATGGCACTTACGTGCGGGCCTATATAACACACAATCGAATGAAACTCAATACTTTAAAATGTTGCGGAAACTCAAATTGAAAAACATACATCGTGGAGAGAGCTTTTTGCGCGATTAAATTTATCGGAAAAAGAAGAAGACGAGGCGAAGAAGACCATAAGTAATAGTTATCGGAAAAGGCCAGCACACGAATGTCGATAGGTGTACTGCGTTCGTATAATGTAAAAGCACTACTAGTCGATAACCGATACACGCTGCCGTACGCTGCGGGTAAATGCACGTATTTTCACATCGGAAATGATTAAATTTTCCTTTTTCATTTCATGCATTATGTCTGCAAACGCTATAGAGGGGATGAAACCCGTCGGGGTGGTATTACTTATTATTGCCAAGTCAACCGTATCAAGCTTTCGCTCTCTCTAGCGAGGTATAGGTGCTCGTGAAGTGGCGTGGCTGCGAGCACTTTGATTTGTTATACCCTTGCGCATTAATTAATTTCGTTATATATTTAAAACGACGATACGCGCACGAGAGACGTATTCGGGCTAACCTTCGACCGAATATTTATTGTTATATTTTACGATTTATTCTCTCCGAGCTACGAATCCCTGACATCGTAGCAGGAACGATCGATTCTAAGCCTAAGAGAATATTTTGCATAGAGACCAAGTGCGATGTTTGTTCTGTCGAAAGAAAAACGTTTACTTTGCGATTGATTTTTTCCAAACAGAAGTCGGTACGTAAGCGTAAACGCGTTCATCGAAGTTAAAAAAAAGTAAACGTTATTTTACGCGCAACGTTTCAATTCGGGTGACTGATGCAGAGAGCACAAAATGGACAGGTTGAAAAAGTTCCCGCACGTAAAGTGTAAACTTTAATTCGTTCAGGAATAAATTCACGTGCGTAGGGACAAAATAAACAAAGAACGCGCTTTTCGTTACTCAAATATACGATAAATCAAATTGCCGCGGGCGTTAATTAAGTATAAAAATTGACACTTAAATATTTTCATCGTTAAATAAGCGTGAGAGCGCGCGCACGTGACAAAAATTACGAAACAAAGCAATTTGGGTTTGGCAAAAAAAAAATGACAAAAATTCCCGAGATGTTTATCGCGGATGAAATGGACGCGGCGAGAAAATGAAGAAACTACGGGACTGGAGAGCTATTCACTTGCAAATTTTGCATAAAAGAAAGAATTTATATTAAAAAATCTCTAAAAAAGTCTGGCTTTAATTACGCTCCGAGAGTCGACGGCGAGTCGGAAAAAATAAATAAAAAAAAGAGAGGAAATAGAAGAGAGAGAGAAAGAAAAAAGACAAATAAGCGGGCTAACTCTTTAACCCTGTGGCGCTGTTTGTCAATCGGGCAGGCAGGCTGAACTACACGGAGTTGGCACGGATCTTTTATGTTTTATTGTTTTATTTCGTGCGCGCAACAAATCCACCCTCGTGTGCCCGTAGCAGCAGTAGTACGTCTCGGGTGCAGGCCAAGGCCTTATACACATGTATTGCATTGAAAAGAACAAGAATGTACCCAGGTAACGTCGATTCGAGTCGAATGCATATAGGACCGTGTACTAGCGCGTACGTGTGAAATTCAAAGAAATTCAATCCATCGGAAGGGGGCAAACTTGCGCAAGCTCGAGGTTCGTACGCGCGAGAGGGAGAGAGTGACTTGTCCAATGCAAACTTTTGTTCTCATTAATTAATTAATTAATTTAGTCGAGCGAAGCCCGCGTCTTGCTGGGTTGGTTCAACGAAATTCTATGACGTTCGCTGCTATTCGTATACGTTATTTAACGTTTTCCTTTCATTTTTATTTTATTTTTTATTTCATAAAAGCGCGTCTGAAAGCAAATGTCGTGCAATCTCAAGACAAAGAAACTCGTTTCCGCGCGATAACGCGCAGCAGAGAGAGCCAAGAGAGAGTTATGGCGCTGACGTTTTAATCATTAAGGTGAAAAGCTCTCGCGGGTACATCAGAAAATGTTTGATTGCTCTTGGGCGCGCGCGTGTATATTTTTCTGCGTAAGCTCCACAGGTATTAACGAAGTCGAGATAGGTAAAGCTCACTTTTTTAGCCGCTTGTTTCGCGCTTAATATAACAAACGACTCGCAGCAGGCAGGCGTTGTTTTGCACTTTTATACCAGGTCATGTCAACGTGTAATTTTCTCTTTCTCTCTCTCTCTTTGCGCAAAAGAACTCGGACTTTTCAAGGAAGTTTTACAAAACAAAAAAGAAATAAAAAAGAGACGAGCCGCCGAGGGATATCGCTTAACGAAGCGCGAATTAATCAGCAAAAGCTCTGGCAGTTGTAAACAAAATTAAAGCCTGCCGGAGAGCCAGCTAGTAGCGGCTGATTTTCACCTCTTTGATAACAAAGTTAACGGCCTTTATATTTAGAACGTTAAACCACTCAACGGAATATCGTCTCGGGTATATAATGTCTAAGTTTATTAATATACCGCCACGAGTGAGAGACGGTGTGTACGTGAGTCCGTGCGCGCGCGTGTGTCGTGTGTGTGTGTGTACAGCTTTTTGCATATGAAAATTTTGCTCCGGATTTCGGGCCGCAAGTCGATCGAGGCCGAAAAGTTTCCGCCAAAACTTTTCCCTTTCAGAATGAGAAACGAGAGGTAGTAGCAGTAGGTAGGTACACACGCAGCAGAGGTATACAAAAGAGAAATTTTGCACATAACTTGGGGCGGCGCAAAGTGTATTTAAACGCACAACTGCATTTGGTCGGCGGCATGCCTCTAAATATACACACGCATACACATTGGGCACATTTTATTACCTCGGCAAAGAATACCAGCTGAGGATCTCGAGCTCTCGCTGACTGGGCCAACAAAAGTAACAGTAACAGCAGCAGCAGCAGCAGCAGCAGCAGCAGTTGAAGCAGCAGCGGCAACGGCAGCAGCAACGGGCTCGCAGTAACAATAGCAAGTGGGGGGCATATTATTACTGCTGCAGGCGTTTTTACCACTGATGTTGGCAGAGTACACTACTACTTCTGCTTCAGCTTCGTCGGCGCTTCTCGTGCTCATTGAAGTATATTATTTTCTGCTTGGCTCGTATGTGTATGCGGCACATACATTTACGTTTATATTATTATATATATCGAGTGTCGCACGCACTTTTTTACCCGCAACACTCGCGACTCGAGTTTTTTCTTATTATTTCTTTCAACTCGATGCCCCTCACTCAAGTTTTCTTTGTGGCATGCATTAATCTCGCCGCGCGACCGTCTCTCGCCGGGCTAATTAACGCCAATCGCCTCGTGGGGCCTCGCGTTGGATATTAAATATACACAAGTTCGATATACACAAGTCTGTCTCTGTCTGAATACGATGCGTGCGATATATAATAATCGGGCGAGAGAGCGACGACGTTACGATTCCGGAGAATTCGCGCTGCGCTGTTAAAGTCGCTCGGCTGTCGTCTCGTGTATATATATTTTAATTATCTATATACGGTTGACAACGGCTGACTGGCTTTGCTCTTTCTCTCTGTCGCACTCGATTATGCGGCTCTGGAGTGGACGCACAAAGGAGAGAGAGACGATATTATGACTTTATGCTCGACGTACGGCGACGTCGACGACTGCTATCGCTTTTAATAATCGACGGCATTTATTTTATATAGTATAAACATTACATACGTGCACGCGACGGTGTAATGTAACGAGGAGAATGCGGAACAAACCGTTAGGATGTGTGTGTGTGTGTTTCAACAACGAGTTCTTGCAATGATGATATACATGATCGCGGCCTGAGAACAACACAACACTACTACTTGTCGTCGTCGATTAGCCTTTGTTTCACCAACTTGCTCCTTTTTTGATTTTGCTTCTCTTCGATCACGATAATTCGAAAACTAGTCAAGTACAGAGGGCAAGAGAGTTCACACGTTGACGTTCTGTATGTGTGCAGCCAGAGTTCGCAGACACTCACCAATAAGTACAGAGAGAGATACAGAGTTATAACTTTTTTTTGTAGGTTAGGTAGCGCGCGTGGTTCACAGTCACACTCGCGACTTCTGTGGCACGATTTTCGAATTCGCAGCTTATTGCAGCAGCAGCAATCAGCAGCATTAGCAGTAGCCGCCGCAGCACACAGCACACAGCTCGCTCTCGAGAGTCGGCGAAATTTTCGACTCCGACTTTGGATTCTTTTTTGATGTATTATATGTGTACGGTATAATAACGAAGTGACTTTTGTTGGTGTACCGATTGAGCAACGCACACTGTTACTGCGCGGAGCGAGCGAGGGGCCGAAAATTTCGGAAAAAAAGCTAACAACGAACGCGACGTTCTCAAGCTCTCGCAGTTCACTGATCGACGTCCAACGGACTATATCTATAACGCAGAGAAGCAGTTCGATGACTTTTGCACGCGTATGTATATTTTATACGCTGCAGACTATTGGTCGTCGTGTCGAGTGTATGTATTATTCGAGAGCTTTGTGTGCCTACCTATGGGCTTTTTATGCGGACTATAGGTAGTCTAGAATATGTAGGTATCGTACGGAGAAGCAAAAAAGTTGCGTGCGACGACGACGCGCCGAGGGCGAGCGGACTACTAGACGACTCCGACTTCCGAGTATAGCGAGGCGCTACACGGTAGCAGCAGCAGCAGCAGTCCGCGAATCGAGTAAAACCTGCCTATAGTACCACCCATATACATTGCTATATCTATATAGATTTTGCGCACACGCACAGGCACATGTTACATTATATATATAGTATATAGAGAGACGAGTACCGAGTCGAGACGGGCAATGTAGACTATGCGCCGCGCGATATACGAGAGCTTCAGATCGTGTATGTGTTAGAGCTGTGCTGCTAGTGCTGACTGCTGTGCAACGTCTGCGTATGTATGTACACGCGCACGCCAAGCGAAATGTGTACAGCATGTGCAGATGTAGAGCACCGAGCACAGGCTGAAAAGTCTGCTGCAGACGTCACCCACCACGGTGGTGGTGTACGTGTGTGTGTGTGTGTGTGTGTGTGTGTGTGTGTGTAGAGAGACCCGACGATGCTGCTGCTTGCGCGTGTGCGGGCTTCCACGTCCATACATGCAGCAGCACGCGAACAAGCTTACGAAAAGTCAACTTCGGAGTTCGTTTGCTGCTGCTTCATGATTGTTTATAGTCAGCTTTGTGTTTGTGTGCAGCAATGGGCATTATCAGCGTGTGCACGAAAGAGAGACGGAGAGAGATAAGCAAGGAACTCCGCAGTGCACATGCGCGCTTTTGTATTCCGTCTGTGGATTCTGTGGCTTCTGCTCATCTGATGCTGATGCTGCTGCTGCTGCACTTCGAACGTGCACAACGAGATACCGTCCCAAAAACGGAGTAGCCACAGCAAACGAACCCCATTGTAGTTTGCGCAACCCCTACTGACGTTGAGGCCGAGCTATAGGAGTCGAAAAAGTAACGGACATTAGGAAGAGTAGTTTTGCAACAGTAGGATATGATTTATCAATGCGTAATGGATATCAATTATTCCGATTGAGATGTATTGTTCGGCCTATAAAGTATGAATATTGACGAAATGAGGGCCAACTTGATACGGCGCAGATATTATCTGTTATGCTATTTTTTGTTTTTGTTTACAGCGGAAACATTGAGTAGTCTGATCGATTGGGCGCGTATTTGTCGACAACATCTCTCTCTTTCCCCCGTGCGTCTCTTTAAATTTCTCGGAAATTCGAGCTCTTTAAAAAAAACATTAAATATTGTGTACACCGCATGTCATCGTGGCTCACTGGGCCACAAAAATACTTTCAATTGTACGCATATGATCCATATAGCTGTATATATCGAGCTGCGGCGCGCCAAGAATCGAGCTTTCGTATTATCACGCAGTTCGGTCGCGTGAGCAAATTTTTTCGCGCGCACTCCAATTAATTGCGCGCGATGGTGTGTGCGATATATGACGACGACAACGACGTTCGGTTAAATTGGACGCGGAGATCAGTTCATTGACGCCTCGAGTCGTGACTCATATTGTACGTACCGAATTCGCGCAAAAGCTCCGAATTACATCATTAAATCGATCGATGTTAACGAAGACAACTTTTATTGTCGATTATAAAAAAAAAGTAATTGATATAATAAATGTTAAATGAAAATTAAAACAGCCGCATGGTTTGTTTTTTAATTCAAATTTTTTTAACGTATTAATTCTTTTATTCTGTTCAACGATATTTTTACATTAAATGTTTCAGTACATACAAAAAGTTTCTTTTTAAAATATAATGAAAAGTTATTCTGCAAAAAATGTTTTAAATTTGAATGGTCAAAACAATATAAATATTTTATTCCTTTATTTAACTTATATACAGAAACTAATTTTAACCTTTGAACCATCAACTGAATCAAACTTTCGCGCAAAACCAATTTTTTTCTCTCTGCGAACCCGTCACTGGGTTATTATCGTCATTCATATAAATTTGTTACGATATTACCGCAGATATTGGATTTCTGCCATACCGACATTAGCTATTATCGGTACAATTGGAAATCGGTAATATAAATACGGTCGTTATATACGATATATACGTATGCACGTATGCGATCAGCTCGTGGCGCACGGATATTGCCTCGGTAATCCAATTCATCCTTTGCTCATTTGCACATTGTTCGGTTTTGCGTAATGGGCCACGCGTGCACACATACCTATAAACGACGTGAACCCAGCGAATAGGCCTCTCCGAGCACAAAGTAGAGCAATCCGTGCGCGTCTCTGCCAATGCGTATATAGCTTGGGTAATAACGACTCGTTGCATATAGACAGGCGTTTGGTGCGTCGAAATAATCGCATTTGGCTTATGCGTAGCATTGCCGATGCGCAGCCAGGCAGGCCAGCTGCGGCGATGGCCGATGATGTGCGTGTTACACCTGCGGAAATGCCAAGCCATGCACGTAAAAATCAATAATCCAATTAACACCGATGTCCAACGGCGCGTTATACACGCGTAGAGATATGTCCAACTCTCGACATTCCTATATTCGCTCCATTTTGAGCCCATACAGGCATTCGTTTAATCGACCCTTTATCACTCGCTGTGCTCTTCTGCGCTAACCAACTGCGATAGATGTGCATTCAAAAACTTGGCACGTTCAAAGCCGATCATGCAAGAGCTCTTTGTTGTCTTAATATTTATTTTATCGAATGATTAACCTACTTCAGCTACGACCAATTACTCTAAGGACATTGAAAAACGTATCAATGAATTGTTACGCGAAAAAATCGACTGTACCATAAACGCGATCATTGATGGAATTTTGTTTAGTTTCAAGCAAAAGTGTCAAGTCTGTTCATCGTTGAAAACCTCGTTTGTGGGTTAATAAACAAATGTTTTTTATTGGTTACATATAATATATAGGATAATATGGGGGGGTTTTTAGGGCCAAGGATCAACTGTCATTAGCCCATCAAAGTTTAGAACGATGAAAGTTTGATTCGCTTTTTCCCGTAATTTATTTCCTTGCTGTGGGTCTTGAAAAATTATGCGAATACCTATTTTTTTAAAGTAAAATATAGATCTTTTCTGAACCCATACACTCATTTAAGATTTAATTGAACGCAAAGTAAAAAACAACCTTGTAAGCAAACAGTTCTAAGTAAAGCTTCAAGCATATTCCGCTAAAAAAAATTGAAGCAAAGTAACTAGCACAATTGAATAACATTAACAATGAAAAATTAAATAAAGTCTCTCCCTCCCTAAAAAAGAAATAAAGCTAAAACGATTCCAGGATGAATTCAACCACAAATAATGGGTTGTTTGTTGTATGTAGTTTCTATTGTCAAGAAATAGAGCTACAAGTGCCTTTTTCAAGGTTGAAATTGTTTTCTTGAATATTTTTTATTTATATTGTATTATATTTTTTACTGGGCTTTGATTCAGAGCTATTTTCATTTTTCATGTTTTAAATTAAATTTCTCAATTTGGTTCGTAATTTTTTTTTTGTGGAATTTTGTCAGAGCTTTACTTTAGAATGATGTTTTCAAAATTACGGAATAATGAGTAATTGAAACGAACCTTTGATAATGAAGCCCTGAAAATCAATGTTACGTTCTAATAGTAGATTTATAATTAATTTATCAATTTGTCAGATTTCCAAACTGGAACTTGATTTTTTTTTATTAGCGAATATTTGAAATTCTTTCGCATTTTCCGCGGAAGCGCTAATTTCTCACTGCCACGTCCGTTATATTATGCACATAACGACTTCGACTACATAGCTGAATTTCCAAATTGAGCGCACCGTCCGCGCGAGATGATTCACTAAGCTAAACTTGAATTTCCGACTCACGGATTCGTGCTTTTGATTGTCACATCTCATTGTAATGACTATTTCGGCAATTTTCATCGCTTTGCTAATGAATAGAGATTCTGTTTACTCGCCTCGAGATATGAAAATTGTCGCAACAACGATACTACGTTTCTAGAACGTGGCGATTCTTTCAACGTATTAATTACGTTTTTTTTTACGTTGCGAGTACGTATACATTTAAAGTAAGTCATTGGATAACATTTATCTACTGCAAATGCTGTCCGAATGATGTTGCTGAGAATTACAATTTTATTTTTATGAATTATTTCAAATATTCTTATAAACAATTAATTTGCTGCACGGTATTTTTTTTACATTAAAATATATGCATACACGTTGGCGTGATCATCTACAGTTTAAACATGTTTTCGTTACTATGAAATGAGATTTCTTTGTTTTCATTGTGGTTTTATACGCATCACAATTCTCAGATACTGCAGAAACGAGTCGATACTACAGAATTTGTTATGATATACGGAAATTCTAGAATATTTTAAGTATTCTAGATGTTAAACTTGAAAATTAAAATTATGGTTTTGATTTTATGCGATTTTATTTGACGAAGAAAATGATTACCAACCGTTGCAGTGCGTTTCCCCAGTGCATAACTCTTTCCTGCATTGCCGATTGAAAATGTTTTCGAAAATATGACATTTATAACAATCAATAATTATGCATTTATAAAATTTTTAAAAATAACAACAAATATCGACAGTCGAAAATCCCAGTACTCTCTAGAAATTGCACGAATTTTACTATAGCCACAAACAAGCCGTAACCAACCCCTAATGGAATTCTTCGATAAAAGTCATTTACCCGTAAAAATCAATAAAAATTCAATGAAACTTCAAATACGAAGGTAAAAATGCAAAAAAGCGAACGAATAAATCGAAAACGCAAGGAAAAAATAACAACAATATCAGAAATAAACAGCGCCAAACGAGCGAGCAGACGAGATAATTCGAGAGAGTGGCAGGCAGAAACATCGAGAAACGGCCAAGAGTATATAACCGGCCGGCGTTCGCGTCTTCGGCAAGCATTTGTACACAAGACTTCAGAACGTTCACTTCGCAAGCGAAAAGTAAGTGTGCATCTTCTCATTAATTTTTGCAACTTTTTCTGTTTCTCATTATATTTCAAGTTTTAAGTGATTGAAAAATTAGTCGATCGTGCCGTTTGAACTTCTATTTTAATTTTTACTCCAAACATTTTTCGAAAATTTGTCGCATCAAGGGTTCAATTAATTTGTTGTGTGTAAAACGTTTTCAAAACGTTTATAGTGTAAACAGTCATCTGTTGTCAGCTTCTCGAATTTTCTCAAGCAATTTATCCAATCGATTCAACCGTAAGTAATAATTTTTTCTCTTTATTTTGCAGCTCTCAATTCACAAAACTATCCAAAAATGGCCTTAATTCCAACGATGTTCCGCGACTGGTGGGACGACTTCGAGCGTCCATCCCGCCTGTTCGACCAGAACTTCGGACTCGGCCTCAGACGCGACGATCTGCTCAACAGCCTCGCAGTGCCATCGTTCCGAGGCTACTATCGGCCGTGGCGCAACCTCCTCGAGCAGTCGAGCGGCACCTCCAAGATCCATCACGACAAGGACAAGTTCCAGGTGATCATCGACGTGCAGCAGTTCGCGCCCGACGAGATCACCGTGAAAACCGTCGACAACAGCATCGTCGTCGAGGCCAAGCACGAGGAGAAGAAAGACGAGCACGGCTACATATCGCGACAGTTCGTGCGCAGATACGTCCTGCCCGAGGGCCACGACATCGGCAACGTCCAGAGCAGTCTGTCCTCGGACGGCGTGCTGACCATCACGGCGCCGACCCTGGCGTTGCCCGCGCCCGGCGAGAAGATCATTCCCATCCAACACACATCCGCACCAGCCGTCGCCCAGAAGTAGAGATCATGTAGTCCTCGTCGATCCATCGTTCAACAGTTTCTTTGAATAACGTATTAATCATCGTTTCCTAATTTTGTGTTATATATATTTTCAACGTGAATGTTGCATTTGCGCGTAAAAATTATTAGTTCTTTTTTAAATTTGTCACCGATTTTCTGTGTATTAGCGTTGTTTAACTAACGGACTGTTGAACAGCCTCGAGATTTAATTTCGTATTCCGATGTATTGTATAAAAAGTTTTTATTTTTTTCTAAGCTCAGAGCCGTGATAATTAATTAACTTATTATACATACAGTTATATACACAGCGAACGACATTTGTACAGTTAAATAATGATATTTGTAAAACTCGCTATATAGTTTATAAGTTTCACCACGAATCATTGTCAAAATGATATAATTGAATAAACATTGAACTTCATTTCGTTCCTAATGAAAAAAAATTGGCTTATTCATTTCACACGCACACCTTTGACCTCGATCTCCGATAATGTGTTTTATAAATAAACTAACGATCACTATTTCCGTCAATAAGGCCAAAAACACCAGCGCGCCGAGAGTCAGTAGGTAAGAATTCAAAAAATGAATCGCAACGGGGCAAAAATAAATCCGGGAATCATCGCTTTGGTGATATTTGAAAAGTAATAAAAGCTTTCCTGCCGCGGTGGGTGAGATCGCTCTGACGATTTAAACGATCGTCACAAAGACGCGCGCCGCAAAGAGGCGGAAAAGCGTCATATTTACGCACACGCACGCGACCAGCAATCGAATGTGTACGTGAATAAGTATATTAGAATTTCACGGCGGGCTTAATTTAGAACAAAATTCGCATCATGGCCATAAGCCAATTGAAAGCGCATATAAAATGAGAAAGGTCGACGACATCTTCGTCGTCATCGTCGTGCAGCAGCAGCAATAGTATAGTAGCGGCGAACTTGCAACTTGAAACCGGGCTAATTTATAACGTTGTTGTACATAATCCCAAAGAGCAGATTTATGCGCGGAGGCTTAGAGGTTCTATACTTCTCAAGAGCAATTTAAATTTGGACCTGCGTACAACACGTACGCCTTCAGAGTTTGTGTACAAAACTTCCGGAGCCAAACGAGCTGCAAAATGATGTCAGTCCTTATATAAACGAGGCAAATTTGCTCCGATATTCTTTTTACGGAAACGATCCCTTTCGGACAAAATAAACCTGACGCAATCGCGCGACTCGTATTAGTGCGTTTTTACCGATGTTCTTGACGCCAGGTGGCCTTGAAATGATTGTATTGTATCGCAGGCGCGCGTGGGTGTGAGACCGCACACATCTCGTGTCGCGTGCGCTCGTATTTGGAATTCGCGGTCACCTCGTCCGTGCGAGCGTCAAAAAATTGCATTTTATACATCTCGAAAGATTTAGCGGTGTTTGCATTTGCGATTCGTGCACTAAACTGTGACTGGACGATATACGGAATCTGGAACAGGCACGAGCAGAAAAATATGCTGTCGGCAGCTACTTGACAGCTCATCGTCAAGCGCCTGGCAATAATAAACAAAGTTGCCGTCGATCGATTAATTTTAGGACTCGTCTTTTGGTTGCTTTATGGATATCGTTGTTATTCGGTGAGTTGCCTTCGCGCGACCTACGCTTCGGCGACGATTGCGCAGCTTAAAAATACTTTGTTATTGCGCGCGAACATAACCTCGTGATATAGAGCTCAATATTGTTTGTTGGTAAATACGACAGCCGGCTAAAAAAATGACACGTAAACAATCGTCGAAGAAAAAATACGAGCCTCATTTGTAATTATGGTTTATTGAAGTAAACTCTTTCCTCGTTTTGAATGTGTGTTTTTACATTTTTACAGTTAAACTAGGTTCGTCGATTTGACACGATGCTGCGAAAGAGAAATATCAGTATTAAAACCGTCAAGGAGTTGGATGCATTTCCCAAGATTCCAGATGATTACAGAAAGCATTCCGCCGTCGGTGGAACTTGTATGTATTTTTCAAGAAAATTGCTAAAAAATTTTTACGGATTTCCGTCAGATTTACTAATCTATTTATTTTTCCAGTTTCCATTGTCAGTGTGATCATCATTTTGTATATAATCTATTCTGAAACATCATACTTTCTTGATACAAGATTGAAGTTCAAATTTGTACCAGATATTGATGTTAATGATGAGATAGAAATGAATGTAGATATCACTGTAGCTATGCCATGTGCTTCTATTGGTGCTGATGTTGTTGACTCTACAAATAAAAATTTAAACACAATTGGTCAATTGCATGAAGAAAGTACCTGGTGGGACTTGGAGCCAGATCAAAGAGCTCATTTTGAAGCGCTGAAACATGTAAATTCATATTTTCGTGAAGAGTATCATGCTATTCATGAAATTTTATGGAAATCTAATCAGTTGACATATGCATCTGGTGAAGTGCCAAAGAGGTATAATAATTAACTTATGTTTGCATGAATTTTAATTCCTAATCTTTTTATGAAACATCATGTATGATATTTATTTTCACAGGATTCATACCCCTAGTTATCCGTCTAATGCATGTCGTATATATGGAAGCTTGATTGTTAATAAGGTTGCTGGAAATTTCCATATAACTTCTGGAAAGGCATTACATCTTCCAAGAGGGCATATTCATATATCTGCATTTATGTCTGAGCGCAATTATAATTTTTCTCATAGGATAAATAAATTTTCATTTGGAAAACCTAGTCCTGGAATCATTCACCCCTTAGAGGGTGATGAAAAAGTTACATCAGACAGTTAGTAATTTACAAAATCTATGAAACACATTTAATTTTTCATGATATTATAAAACTTTTCAATATTTTTAGGTACAATGCTATATCAATATTTTATTGAAGTTGTATCAACTCATATAAACACATTTATGCGTAAAACACAAACCTATCAATACAGTGTAAAAGATTTTGAAAGACCAATTGATCATGACAAAGGTTCACATGGAATTCCTGGAATATTTTTCAAGTATGATATTTCAGCATTAAAAGTAAATGTATCTCAAGAAGGTGATTCTTTTATAGAATTCATTGTAAAGTTATTGTCTTCCATTGGATGCATTTATGTAACAAATGGTTTGTTTGTTAAGTTTTTTACATAATTGTTACATTTGAACAAATATTTTACTTTAAAAATTTAATTTTCAGGCCTATTGAATAATCTTGTGCAAGGTGCTTGGTCTTTAATTTGTTGCAAATTTTTGAAAAATGGCGAAGAAAAAAGTGATGAAAAAGTGATTGTAAATACAAACACTAGTAACGCGCCCAACAAAGTCAATAACTTGTTGACTGTAGATCCACCTCAAAATATTCAACAAATAAACATTGTTCCTGAATCTTAGTAAAATTTATGAATACTATTTTATATTTATCAGTACAGATATAATATTTAAAGGCATAATATTATTATTAAAAAAAATTTATCAATGGCTTTGAATTGAAATTATATTTTTAATTTTATATAAAAACTTCAAGTTCACATATATATAATGGGTTTGAAAATAATGTTCAAAGTCAGAATGTGCAGTATTATTTGATAATCCATAGATTATAAAGAAATCTCCAGATTTCATTACCAAATATTGTAAATAAAAAATCTAAAATCTTCATACTATAAATCTCAAGAACTGGTCATTTGTAGCAAGAAGATTCAAAATGAAATGTAACGAGTATCTATTGAAGGAGTGGATTTTACATTAGAAATAACAACGAAAATATCCAGTTTTTTGCCTATAATATATATTTTACATTATTCTGTGATTGTACAAGTTACAAACATTAAGGCAACGTTAAGCTGAATTTTTATAATAAACTCACTGCTGCAAAGCAGTGGTGACATTTTTTACTATTTGAATAAAATTTATTACAATATAATATTGTTATTTATTATTTGTTATAATAGCAACAAGTACAATGGACAATAAATTTGACGATGCTGAAAAAGTAAACACAATTGAAAGCAAAAATCTCCCAAGCTTTTTTGATAGATGAAGCTTGCAACCTGTTACTTTGAAAGGACTTTATATAAATAGCAAAACATTATTGTGTAAGCATATTTTACAAGATTATACAGATTTATGACAGTAAACAAAATTTTAAAATAAGAATCTAGGAAAACCCACTGAACACATCGACATAACTACTAATTATACGAAACCCATCGATTTCACATTCATAGCATTTTTTTAATTTAATAGGACAGACTAAATTCTCAAGTTTTTGTTTTTGTAAATGATAGAATGTTTTACTGTCGGAGTTGTTGAAATCCTGATATTTTTTTTAGGTAAAAATTAGGAATACATTTTTCTTAAAAATGAATGCAGAATTAAATAAAAAACTTCTAGATGGATATTTTTTTTAATATATCCTAGATTTTATTAAAATATAATCATATTGTGTAATTCATGCAATCTCTCAGATTATAGCATTCAACTGCACATATTTTCGCTGTCATCTATACACTTTTATCATCACAACATTCAAATGCAGTCACGCCCTTAAAATTAAAAATAAAATATTATTTATCTTAGGTAACGTACATACGTATAAATAATTCTAGTGTTCTCTATTATATAATACGATTTTTAAAGAAAAATCGTAAGTTGACATTATAATATAGTTATTAAATAATCTTTTTTATAATACATAAGTGTTTTTCGAACATTTTATGAAGCGAACTATTCTCTTTAAAAATTGTATAATATATATTTTATAATCCGATAAATTTTAAATTTTACAATCAAATCAACAAATCTCACGATTAAAATCTATTCATAAATGTATTAGGCTTAATCGGCAGTTCGAAACTTCATGCTCAATCGTATAATATATTTCTCATTACATTATTACATATCATTATCGTTACTATCATTGAATAGCTGCAAAAATATTTCTAGCCTATTATAAATTTCGTTTAAACACAATATACCAATTAAAGAAAAATTTCAAATTCATTATTTATCTATAAAATTGATTAGGAAGAACGTATAATCAATGATATTTATATAATAATACATGCTATGAATTTTCCATCGAAAAATCTACAATCTGAAGAATGTAACACATCAATAATAATTTTAATAAGCAAATTATGGTAAAAAAGTTTTTCCAAATGATTGCAAAAAACAATCAGTGCAAGCTGCGATAAGATCTCGAATGATTTTCGAATATTACATCCATCAAGTGTACAAAAATAAATATTATATGAGCTCATTAAAACCATAAAGACTTGAAATGGTCGTACATAACGTATACGCAGCGATGAACTATACTTTTGTTGTGTATAAACAGACTATTTTATCGATGATTTTTTTGTTTCACTTCATGGTATGTAAACTATATTTAAAATATTTTTATATACTGTTACTCGATAAAATGTATATATAAATAGAATATTTCGGATGCAGATTAACGTGAAAAATTTTCAGCAATTTCTCTCTTACGGTTGTACAATTAAATAAAACAATTGTTGCTCTACATACATGATAACGCAAAGTGATTATAAAATGGCACACCTTTGATGAGACTCGTGACTTTGGAATACCAAATCTATCAAAAATTTTCATATTCGAGCATATTGTTCACCTTCTTGTGCAAAAAAGTGAAATATGCTGCGAGATCGGACACATGGTCTAGAATTTGTTGTACACTTCGTTATAATACAACTTCTCTATTGTAAAGGAAAAAAATATATATTACGCAGTGTAATAAAAGCTAAGCACTGCGTCAAGACGTAAACGTAGCGCTTAAACTTCAAAGGCACCATGCGAAATCAAAAAAGTATTACTGTATACGAAAGAGAAGAAACACCTATACGTACATTTTGCGGCGTGCATTGAGAGCCCTATAATCTTAGCCTAGTTTTACATACTTTTAGCAAATACAATATATAATTACGAAGAAGGCGTGTTAATGCCCGAGTTTTAAAAACTCTCACATTTTGTTATCATACAGTGCACACGCGCACCTTTACAATAATATATCGTTTCTCGACGTTCAACAGTGTCCGACAAAAAAAGTTCCTCGAACTTTTTTCGAACAAAGCTCAACGAAAAAACGCAATGTCGCAGCAGCTATCGTAATTGTATATAGTTATATTTATGTACATTTTTGCATTTGAAATCCGTAAAAAAGGAGTGCATGAAATGCCATTGACAAATGTAAACAAATTCAAGAGCTTTAGAAATCTGTGCTGAAGGATATTTTAGCAACGAAAATTTTTTTCTTTTTTTGGTATTCGTGTTGTGTGGAAGACGCGGTTGTTGTTGTTTTTCTTTTTTTTTTTTTTTTTTTTTTTGAAAAAAAAAACGTGCTTGCGTCTTAGATGAATCGACTGAATCACGCGTGCTCTTTCAGGTGAACGCTTTGGCTGAAAATTGTGTACCTGAAAAAAATTCATTGAATGAATATTTTCAATTTGGCTTGCGCATATTTTCAATAGTTTTATTTCATGCAGTTTTTACCTATATCGGTTCGGTATTTTCGTCGAATTACAAAAACAAGTAAACTATTGGTGTTACAGCTAAAAGTATCAGCGTCCCTGCTGGTCGCATCGCTGCTCCCGTCGTATGCACTCCCGCCGTCTGGATCACGATATCTGTCAAATCAAATAAGACACGAAAATGCAAATAATTCGTGGAAAAAGAATCGATTGTTTAATTTCACAAGCTAAAAGTCTATACCTCCTCCGAAAGTCTGAGGTTCTGAGTAGGGTCCCCATGATTTGGCGTCCTTTGTGACATCGTTGGCGTCACTCTCGTCGCCGTTGCGAGTTCTCAGTTGGGCTTCGTGTTTTCCAGCATGGATTCCACGAATCGTACCTTGGACTATGTGTTCTTTACCGTCGCTATTGATGACTTTGACGTCTTCAGCTACGCGCCACTCAGAGTCGTTTTGTTGACGGAAGCGCAACTAATAACAATAAAAAAACAGGAAATCAGTCAAGTCCATTTTTTATACTTGCTTGCTTTAGTTAAACGATGGAAAAATGAAGCGCAATAGTTTACCTCGGATTCGACAATTGGTTTGTAACTGATAACTTTCCATTGCAAAACGACGGAGTCGTCATCGTTTTCAGCATTGTTATAAATCGGCTTGGCTGGCGTGTCGACTAGCTGAATGATCGGACCGGTTGCGTCGCGGTCTTCATTGGTAGCATGGCATTGGTATTCGCCCAAATCGTCCTTATTAACGTCGCGGATCGTCAATACCTTATGGTTTTTGATTTCGTCGTTCAAGGTGATGCGTCTGTTGTCGATGTTGATCTTGTTGCCGTTGTGGAACCACGTCATCTTCTTATTCACTCCCGGGTGCGCGTGGACGATGCACGTGATGTTGACCGTGACGCCGAGAGCAGTCGCGTAGTGATCTTTGTGGTGCCAGTGACCGTTGATTTGTTCCTTTTCGTACTCGATATCGAGATCTGTATAAAACGAACGGCATAAGTTTGAATGACAGTTGTTTGGTACCGATAATAGCTTGAATAAAATATACGAAATATTAATGAACTCACGTCTGACGTGCAATGTCAGATGCTGGAGACGAAGTTTCTTCTCGCCGGTATCGACGGCACATACGTAATCGCCAGCGACGTGTCTGGAAGCGTTGCGAATCGTGATGTAACGACCCGTCTCGGTTTGCCTGTCTGGAAGAATATTTACGCCCTGAAACATCCAAGCGCGTCGCGTTAACTACATCGGTCTATTGAGACGCAATTTTTTTAAAATTGAGAAACAAGGTACGAACCTTTCGTGTCCAGATGATGTTTTTGGCTTTGATTTGGGGACTGACCTCGCAACCCAGCTCGATCGTTTCACCTTGCATGATTTCGTTGCAAGCAGCGGGCGTAACGCGCACGCCGTTATGCTCCATCTGTACGTCGTGCGCGCCTTTGTTGCAAGCGGGCAGCTTGACGCGCAAATCGTGCGCGATCTTGTTGTCGTCGTCCACCTTGCAAATGTATTCGTCGCTCGAGTCGTTCAGCTGAACGTTCTTGATGAGCAGAGTACGATTTGGTAAGATCGACAGGCGCGGATCGTCGGTCAATTTCTCTCTTTCGATGAAGAGAGTGTTGTTCGGCAAACGACCCCTTGACCATATAATGGCTGCGGCTTCGGCGTTGATAACATTGCAGGGTAGGTAGACGTCGCTGCCGACAGGCACCTCGAAAATTTGCGGCTCCGTTTCGATCCTCGCGTCCGGCGCGTTATCCGCGTCCTCGTCCCCGTCGCTCGGATCGTCGGCGGTATCGTCGACGTAATCGTCCGCATCATCCTTGACTTTCGACGTCGACGATTGAGTCGCCGCTGCCGGTGATGGCGCTGCAGCTCCATTCGAAACTGCAACAATTCAAGTAAAATTTTCGTTTGAATGAAAATCGGTACAGATTGCGCATCTTTACTTCGAAAAATTGAAATAGCCAACACGGACGCGAAGGATTAATATAGATCGGGGGAGCTCGTCGTGCACGCGAGTCGGGGGCGTTTTTGCTCGACGACTCTATAAATACTCTCGCAGCAGTACACGCGCCTGCTCCACTACGATGGTATTGCAAAGTATGCACGCGCGGCGGTATGGAACGTCGTCGCTTCCGATGACTTTTCAAAGTCTGCTGCTGCTATTATAGCGATCGTGCAATGAGAGTAAGCTGGATAATTTCACGGACAAACTCAATATACGCAAAGCTCAACGGTATAGGAACAAAAAAAAAGATGGAATTCACCGCAACCGCAGTAGAGAGAGAGAGGCTTTCACGAAGAAAGCAGCAAGTTAAGCGTGTACACCCACGCACGTCGGTAATAATTAGCGCCGCTCGGAATACATCGTCACCGCTATACAGGCACTAAAGAGTCCCTTTCAATTAATGCACTCGTCGTTTTATTGTATTTATCCACGCTTCTCAGTGTCAATTTGAACGAAAGTGAAGAAAACAACCACGACAACAAAATAAATAAATAAACGACAGCGCGACCATCATTGTAGAGAAAAATAGAAAGAAAACTGGAACGAAATACTACAAAAATAAATTAACGAGATCTACATTCGCGGCTCTTATCGCTCGTCGACTTCGAATGCGTGAGCGCGGTGCAGCAGGCAAGAACTCGTTAGCCTAGACGCGCGTGCAAAGAGTTGATTTTGAGAAATGACCATACGCAGAAGCTTTTGCATATAATGCGAAGGCACGTCGCGCGAGTCTCGCGTGCTGCACTCGGCGCAACGCGAGAGAGGCCTAGCTTTGTTTCTCACATAGCCGTGAGCTGCTTTTATACGTATATGTAGTACAGAGCGCAGTGTGCACTGCACTCGCGCGCGCACTTATACAAGGGAGTTTGATTGATTGAAACGCTCGAGCGCGGCGTTTTATCGGCTTTACGTGCCACTCTCTTCTGTGCTGGGTAATTTTTTTTCTCCTTCGTCTTCGTCAAAACGTGCGAATTTCTTTCTTGTAATTTTCTTCAGTCCTTTAAGAAGCGAGGAGCTTTTTATCGTGTGTATACGCCGATTATCCCGGACTCTCTCTAGGACTCGAGTCCGCGCGCGTGTATAATGCAAGGTGAATGTCCTCGAACCTGAGCGCGCGCGCGCCTCGTTGCCATTATATTGTCTATATAAATCGAAGTCTTATCAGCAAAAGATAAAAGAGAAGCCGAAAAGAAAACCCTTGGCAACTTCCGGGTACGAGGACTATAGCTGCCTCCTCGGTTTGTGTGTGTGTGTGTGACTGTGCGCAGAACTGATCGTCTCTTGTATAAACGCGTACACACGTTTCCTTCCCGTTAAACACACCGTGCATGTATGTATATACGGGAGAAGAAGCAGTCCAAGGCAATGAGTCAATGTCCATCCGTCTGCACGTATATGTACCCACTGCGTGTGTGTACGTCGCTTGTCTCGGATATCAATCAGTAATAGACGTGCTGCCCGCAGAGGAGTACAAACGCGCACACACAAACATGCACCGCCAAGTAGATATTCCACGTGCGGAATCCCAAGATTTATGTAATATAGAAATTCATTTTTCGTTTCTCTACTGCGATTGTTCGTTTCTTCGGTTTCCAACATTAGTAATAGTTAATAGTAGTAGCAGCAGCAGCAGCAACCTGAGAGGGAGAGAAAGATCGACGAGAGTGGCTGATTTTTTGCCACGGCACTTTCCTGCGGTCAACCATATCAAAGTTAATACTTCGATGGCTTTTTTGCTCACGCCGGGTGCCTTATTAATAGTTGTTCGTCTTTATAAGGTCACGGAGAAATGTCCGCGCGTTCATTATACACGCGAGAGCGAGAAAAAAACGATAATGCTTCGAATGACAAGATGCGTGTGCTGGCTTATAGGCAAGCTTCGGGCAGAATGATCGATGAAAAGTTGAGATGTATCGATGCCATTTTGTCGACTTCTTTTTGCCTATACACGTGAAAAGTTGTTAATCCACGTCGGTTTGAGTACGTGTACGCGCAGCAGCTTTCGTCCGATTAGATCGTTTGTTCGGCGCGCGTCGTAAAAACGACCATAGCCACCGCCACCGCATGTAATTTCGAGCCGCGCGCGCGAATCGCGTTTATTATGTACTGCGACGACCGACCTCGTAACGATTCGAAAAGCCAATGCGCGGTGTATGTGCACGCTCGCTCGCGATTCATTAGCTCGATGCATCGCGCGAGCGCACGCCGGTTTATAAACCATCGTCGTAGCAGATATCTCGAGAGTTATAATCGAGGAGCTTGTTTATGCAAACACGCGCGCGTATAGTATGCTTTACAATCATGCGATCGAGCCGGGAGGAGGGAAGCAGACAATCGATGATCCTAGACGCACGGGAATCATTTTTATGAATTTAAATAATGGACGCGCTAATTCATACGCTAACGATTTATCGGCTAATTTGTCAAATGAGCAATAATCGACGTATATGTACGTTTTATTCTCGCGAGTCACATCACGCATGAGGATCGAGAATTAACAGTTCTTTCATGTAGCAATAACAAAAATGGTAAGCGCCGTAAAGCACGTTATCAACGATTATTAACCGCTGCAACGTTTACTTTCAATATAATCATATACTGAACCCGTATTATGTGTGTGTGTAGTGCAGTGCGCGCCTTGAGTTGAAAAGCAACAACCAACACCACCAGGCGCATCCGTGTAAAATATGTAAGCTCGTGCGAGCCGCTCGTCAGAGGGTTGCGATGCTTGGCGCTCGGCATATTAACGCGATATGGAAAGCCGCGCCCTGAGCCGACTTATTTTTTTTCCTTTCTCTCGTTCTTTTTTCTCATTTCCCGAGCGATAAAAACTTTTATGCCTCGCGAGTAAAACGTTTCGAATTAAAATGCCGACTGTTTATTCAATTTTTGCGATAAAAAAAGAAAAACGGACTCCGAGTTATACAATTATATAGTTCATCGGGCATGATTCAAGTGAAATTAGTGGAATTGAGCTTTTACAGGCCGTTTAAAGCTCACTTGGATTATTTTTTCCACGACTCTGCCAAATGAATGAATCACACATTGTTATAAGCGCATTACTACTGAGAAAATATATAGTATAAAATTTCTCGATTATGCACACACATACACGCGGCCAATAATAAAATCATTGAAATGCTCGCGTATAACATCATATCGCTCCAACTGAAATTCTCTATTTCTCTAAGCATTTATTTACACGAATGTTGCATTAACGAACTCGATCGACTTATCTATATGGGTGTTCGGGAAAAAAAGGAAACCCTGAACTTTATTTTGGGTCGTAAAATCTGCTCTCGAAATCCCTTGCTGCGCGCATCGCGTGATAAATAATAAGTGCCCTCGTATTCGTATTTATATATATATATATATATCATCATTGTAGAGAAAAATAGAAAGAAAACT